TCAAACAATCAAATTAACCAAAAGGAGAATAGGCAGTTTCCTAAGAACCTTTGTTGGTTACGCTTTTTTTTTTCCTCAGATAAAAGTGAAAACTGTAGTATATTGAAAGCATTATATTTCATAAAAGGTTTTGGAGAGTAAAATTTCAATTAAAAGAAACTGTGAAGAAGAGGAGCCCACTGTAGTCTTAATCTGGCCCTGTGTACATATCCATTGTTTACAGTACAGAGTAAATGTTAGTGTTATTATGCTATATATATATATATAGGAGTTTTCTGCAAAATTGTTAATTTTATCTATTTTTTTCTGAAGTTATTTTTAGTTATCAAGTAAAACTGAAGTTTCACCTTCTTTATATTTTTTTTCTTGGAAACTGAAAATTGACTTCTCTTTTTGTTTTTAACATGTAGAGAAGAAAACAAACTATCTATTAGCAGTTAGTGGACAGTTGAAGTTTCTACCTCGACCAGTTTTAAAGTCAGAGCTTGTTAAGGTAAGTATTTACTAAACATATCCATACTGAAAATGTACATATGAAAGTAGGCAACATTTATATATAATATATATACTTGAGAAGGAAACTAGTAAGCAACTTATAAAACAATATGTAAGCAGAATATATATAATAATTATTTTGGACTTAGCATTATAATAACTGATGCTATGTAAAAATACAGAGAAAATTTTCGTCATTTTACATTTTGGTTTCCTTAATTCCGAAGGTATGAAAACTTGACTCTTTTTTTTTATTACATTAAAACAAAAACTAATTATGGCAATGACATGCACACAGTAATATTTGGAAAAATTACAGACTTTACAGCCTGTTATAATAAGTGATCATTTAAAGATATAACTTTGGCTCCTCTGGATTCAATCATGAGTGTTGACTGGCATTAGCATATCAGATCTGTAGAGGCTTCAAAAAGAATTAATCATAAACAAAATGGAATACACTAAAAAACACAGGCAAAGGTTGGGGTATCTAGAAATAGTTATGAAGAAAACAGCAAGTTACCAATCTATATAGCTAAGCAATTACAGCTAATTGTATAAATTCATTCATTTCAGGGCTTCTAGGATCTTCCTTTAATCCTATTGCCCCAGGTATCCTTTACTGCACATGACACAAGGTTTTAGTGTCTTACATTCAAAATTTTATTAAACTACTTTTTGTCTATGTTATGGTAATTAGAATAGCATAAAATCTTAGTTAATAATCCATATTTTAATAGTATACAAGATTTAAGCTCTTAATTCTACAAGGCAATATTTAAAAAAATCCTGAATTTCCACTAGTATGACCCATGTGACACATTTTTTCTTAGCGTGTCATCGTCCCTATTTTATCCATCACTCCCTTGAAAAAGCACAAAATTAAATGTAAATTACTCTATAAAATCGTTATTGCTCAGACAAACCATCATTTTTATAGTCTTCAATTTCTATCATATAGAAAATCAGACCCCTCCTGTCACATCCTCTTTCACAATTCGTTGATAGTTCTGTCTTACGTTTCATTATATATTACCTATAACCAACAGAAAGTCAAGGTTTTCATCTATCAAATGATGTATTGTATAACATTGTATTCTGAACAGAATATCAACAAATTTCACTCGCAGTACAAGATTAGTTCCCATGGGAAAGTTAACAACAGGCTTCGATGAATTTGTAATGACTTGTGGCAAAGTTAGAAAGCCAGACAAATTTAGAGAGGTAAGGGAATTTGTCTACGTTTTGCATGTTATTAGTTTATATTTTTGGTGAATTATTTAATTAAATAAAAATTAAGTGCATTACTATACTATAAAAAAATTAGGCAATCGAGAGCAATCAAAAAAAAGATTGGGTAAGTACTCTATTTCTTGTTTTTCATATTTATTATTATTAAAGTAACAAAAATCTAAAAATATGGGTCTTTTTAAGTTATTTAAGACTAGATTAGGAAAATAAGTAATAAAAATAATATAATTAAAATGGTTCATGAGGCATGCATGCAAGAAGCTCATGTGTAATGTAATTTGATAGCATAAAATGACCTGCACATTCCCCAAGTGATTTACAACTTATAATGGCATGAATAGTAGTTAGACATGGTTCAAAGGGCAATAAAACAATAAAATTTAATTATAAATAGATGTATACAGTTAAGAATTTAGAGCTACTTAGGATAAATGAATGCAGTTTTATGTAACAATTTTAAGTCATTCTAAAAAGAAAAAAGGGTAATTTAGGTTTACTTTGTTTGTTTTTTTTGTGATTACGCGATCGGTCAAATTGACCAATCCCGTTTTCAGATAGAGTGAGAAAATAACAAATAAACTATAAAGTTTTACTGAAAAAATCGTTTAAAATTCATTTAGGAGGCTTTAGCAATTATCCAAAGGAAATTTGAGATTTTTCAGAGGAGGAAAGTATTTTTAATATTAACATGAAAATTACTTTGCACAAGGACTATTCAAAACAAATACTCGGTGTATTCATGGACAAATCTTTATTTTATTTTATTAAAAATACTTCAGTAAAAAATATGACTTTTTTGTATGAGAAAGTCTTGTAATATTAACTGGAACTACCAAATTTTGTGAAGATGTACACACTATATTGAGAGTTATAAGTATTAAATCTATAAAGACTTTAAATGAGTACAATAAGGTCATGTGGTCAGTCAAATTGACTGAGCCCGTATTGAAAGAGTTAACCCTATCATGATGGGCTTGGTATAAAATAATGAGTTCGTATACACATTTCCACACGATAAGTACTTATACTATAAACTTTAATGCAGCATGTGTATCTCCCAAAATTTGGTAGACTTATAGTAAACATTACAAGTCTTTTGTACACAAAAAAATCAGATTTCATAATAAAGTATTTTTACTAAAGCTTTGTTTGTGAATATATTGAGTTACTAATCCAAGTGTGAAGTGATTTTCATGTTATGATTAAAAATACTATTCTTCATCCCAAAAATCTTAAATATCATTTGTGTATTCTCTAAAACCTAAATACATTTCAAATGCTTGTTTTTAGTAAAACTTTATATTTTATCAGTTATTTTCTCTACCCTAACTAAATCTAAATTACCGTTTTTTTCTTTCTAGAATGACTTCAAATTGTAACATGAAACTACATTTGTTTATTCTAAGTAGCTTTAAACTCGTAACAGTATATATCTATTTATACTTAAATTTTATTGTTTTATTGCTCTTTAAATCAACAACTACTACAATTCATGCCATTATAAGTTGTAAATCACTTGGGGAATATGGAGCTCACGTTCCGTTCCGTTATCAAATTACGATACCCAAGAGCTGTTCGCATGCATGCCTCATGAAACATTTTTATTATATTATTATTATTTATTTTACCTAATCTAACTTTAACTAACCTAAAGACATCCCTATTTGTAAATTTTAGTTATTTTTGTAATAATAATTAAAGAATAAACATGAAAAACAAGAAATATAGTACTTACCCAGGTCTTTTTTTTTTTTTTGTCTGTCAACTGTCAATGACACTTAATCCTACTTTTTTTATTTTATTGGTAGTAATGCACCAAAGAACGTAGAATAATAACATGCAAATAGCAGACAATTTCCCTTGACTATAACAATTTTTCTGGCTTTTAAACTATGCGACAAAAACCGTTACAAACTCATTCAAGTTATTATATTTGCAAAGGGAACAAAGCTTGTACTAACTGACAAATTGACAATTCTATGTTCAGAAAACAACGTAATATAATACATCATTTGATAGATGAAAATCTTGGCTTCCTATATGTTATACATAATATAGTATTACGTGTAAGAGAGAACTGTTAACAAATCCTGAATGTTATAGGGATGTTATAGGTGGGTGTGGCAAGAGGTGTCTGATTCTCTATATGATGGCTCAGTCACCAAACAAGATTGAAGATTATAACAATTATGGTTTGTTTGAGCAATGAGAATTTTATAGTGAGGAATTTATGTTCTATTTTGTACTTATTGGAGTGGTGGTGAATAAAATAGAGAATAGGGGATGCCTAGAGAAAATGTCATATTTCTCACACTAGTGGTAATTCAGAATTTTTAAATATTGCCTTATAAATTTAAGAACTTAAAACGTATACACTATTAAAATATGAATTATTAGCTATGATTTTATGCTATACTAATTGGTATAACATAAACAAAAAGTAGTTTAATTAAATTTTGAAAATATCTTGCTAAAGACCATGACATGCGCAGTTAGACCCACCCTTTGCGAAAGGGTTAAACATTTAACCTATCATAAAATTATATCTAATCATTGCCAACTATTAAAATGTTTAGTAACTGCATAATTTTGTATATTTGTAAGTTAGAAATTATTTTAAAACTTCTAAGATTTACATAGGAATCATTAATAAAGCTTCAAACTTGTCTCAATCACCTAATTAGCTTACAGTCATATAAAAATGTGTTACACTTGAATGTAAGCTATAATAAGTTGTTTTATTTATTAATAAAAATGTATTTATTCCATTAGAAAGTATAAACTGTTCTACATTTTCAGTGTTGTGGTTAAATGGAAACAATCATTTTGTTAGGCAGGTGATATAATACACAGCATTCTATTGTGTTAAAATAATTATTTATGTGGGTAAGTCTACAGAAGAAAAATAAATCAATATCTTAACCAGAAAAAAAAATTATATTTGTCAAACTTTTGCACCATAATAAACAATGATATTCTATAACTCTGTAAGTAAATAAACTGTGGTATTATTGTAAAATATTAGCCACAGTTACAGAGAGAGGTTCTATACAATGTTGTATAAAACTGTTTCAATCTGTTCTTCAACAGTTGCTTCCTGTTCTGCTTCAGTCACTAAATTGTCCAGACATTGATCTTCTGGGAACAACATTGAGTAACCTGGCTGACCTTTTGACTGAATCTGTTTTGCTTTTTGAGCAATATATCCAAACATTGGTTCCCCTACTTGTAAAACTGGTGTCATGTCAGCAGTCTATGGTTTGTAGCTTTGATCTGTTGATTAATATGAATGCTATAGTACTACATGTTGGTCAAGAGAGAGAATCTATTAATCAAGCACGGGAAAAAATTAATTATACTAAAAGCTATAATGTTAGTTTTATAACACAGAAGAAGTAGAATGAGTTTCTTTGAGAGGTTTAATTTTCTAAAAGTATGCTATCAACTAATATATGTTTATTGTATCCAATTAAAACAAAAACTATATATATCTAGGTTTACCTCTATCTAGTTGTCAAACAAATACATTCAGTAAAGTCACTTTGCTGTATTCAAAGCTCTAACAATTATAAGCTGATCAAATACAAACAAGTGTTTATTATGAAATTAATAGAGAGCAGAGCAAAATTGGATTAGAGAATTAAAATTATTTAATACCAGGGAAAAAACCATCTCCAAAATAACTTATGTAGATAGAACTCCCAGTGCCAGTATTACAAGTATCAGAACAACTTGAAGGTATTGCAGAAACTAAATTATTTTATTCAAAAAAATTATATGTTTAATTGTAACATTTCTGTAGAAACTGATTATACCAAACATATAATATCAGGCTTTAGGAATAAATTGGTGTAGTCCATAGTTTCTGATTAGACATTTAAAACAAATAGTTTGATATAGGACAGATATTTCACATACCTTATAAAATAATTTGACACAGTACAAACTTATATGTACAGGTATAAGAAAAATGTCTCATGAGACCTTAGAAATAGACTGATAACCATGTAAATATATCTGTTCAGTTCCTATAAACAGTTTGATACAGGGCTAATATGTTCAGTAGTGTAGTATATCCTTTAGGACAAACACATCATCTTAGACTTTAGAAATAGTTTGGTGAAGTACAAATGTATCTTTACAGGCCTTACAAATAGTTTGTTGCAGTACAAATATATCTGTACAGGCCTTACAAATAGTTTGTTGCAGTACAAATATATCTGTATAGACCTTCAAATAGTTTGGTGCAATATATATATTTCAAACCTTACAAGTAACTTTGTACAGAGCAACTGCATCTTCTCAGATATAACAAATAATTTAGTATGGGACATTAAGCCAAACAGTTGATATGGCATTAAAGTGCTAAATGCTTGCTGTCAGTGTGAAACATTTCACATATAAATCGTATTTAGAATAGGTAAATAATTTGACTTGGCAACACTTATCATCAACAAGCTTCGAACTGTGTGTCTCCATCTACAAGCAAACAGGTATCATCTGACTATTGTTGGAAGGATGTTGTTAGTGTAAAGTAAGCTCCAAGTATCATTTAGACAAGTTTTAAAATCATAGAATTGTTGATAGAATAAAAAACATGGACTAGCCTGGTAGCTAGGATGTTCGACTCGCAATCTTGAGTGTCGGGAGTTTGATTCTCTGTTGCTGAACATGTTCATCCTGTATGGTTACCATCTGAGTTGGCCACCCAGGTGTAAACATTTTTGACCTACAAACTAGTTGGGATTAAGATCATTATGGAGAAGAAGAAGATAAAGAATATGGATATTTCTGAAGCCTCTTAATTCCATTTCCATTACAAGCACTTGAAAGATATTTAACAAAGTTTTTCATCAGATATTGCCTAAAAGTTGTTTTAAAAAAAAAAGTGTCATAACCCTAACTATCGGTTGGGTTTGAAATAATCAAATACAGAAGTTGAATACATTATATTCAAACAATTTTAAGTCTTTACCATAGACTGGTGACTTGAATGGTATGTTTTGATATGGGATGATTTTAATACCTATTTCACTCTCCAGCTGCATAAGGTACATGTGACAGTGTTGAAAGAATATGTCATTGAAGCAACTTGCATCACCTTTTAGTAAACTTTACAAGTCCTTTGGACATAAATTCAGGTTTTAAGTATTTTTACTAAAGATCTACATGGTATCCACAAAGTCCTCTTCCGATTTTAAAAGTTTATTAGAACAAAACCAAAAAAGATAACATAATGCAGTTTCATGTATTATATTACTTAAGAAATAGAGTTCTATATGCTTTTCAGTACACCTTAACATGTGCACCGTTAGTGGCCTGTAGCACATCCAACCGATATTCCATGTCAGTCCACATGTTGGCCACCATATCCTACATCACTCTTCTGATGCCATCAGTTATCCTTGTACGAAATGTTTCAATTTCAGCAACTGGGATCTGGAAAATATATACTTGACATACCCCCACAAGCAGAAATCTAAGGACATAATATCAGGAGACTGTGGGGGACCAGGAAACTGGCCCATCACATCCAATCCATCTGTCAAGGAAGTTGTGTACAATCAAACACCAGTGTGGAGGTACACTGTCTTGCTGAAAAATAATGAATGATTGCAACTCTTCCAACTGGAAAATCACATAATCGTCCAGCATGTCAAGATGCACACTATTTGTAACATTATGCTCAGCAAAGAAAAATGGGCCTATCACCTTATCGTGCATGAGTCCACACCAAACATTACGTTTTAGGCTATCAAGAATGTGTTCACGAAAATCGTGGGTTTTCAGACCTCCATATTCATACATTATGGTGGTTAACTCTTTCAGACACGTGAAAGGTGGTTTCATCAGAGAACAATACCCTTTTAAGTACTCATTGTCTTCATCAATCAAGTTCAGCATGAAACATTCAAATTCATATCACTGAGGCTTATCATTTGGTTGTAAAGCTTGGACTGTTTGCATTTTATATGCATAAACATGCAATCTCTTGTGAGGACTTGGTATACCATTGATCTTGGTAGCTGGAGTTCAGTTGAAGTACGTTGAATAGACTTTCTAGGGCTGTGTTGGAATATCTCCTGGACATTAGCAGTGGTTTTTTTCAGAAACACTTGGACGTCTACTTTGAGGAAGGTCAATCACACTTCCTGTGTCCTGAAACTTCTGACACCACCTAATGATGGGTTTGAAGGATCCTTGCCGTATTGATGAAGGTACTTCTATTGAACAGTTGTCACTGATCTCAACTCTGCAAACCAGATGACACATTGAGCTTTCTCCTGTGTAGTTGCCATCTTCATTAAAACTTCAATCTTTAGCAACTGGGCACTCCAATTACTATCTGTAAATAAAAAAAAAACTTCATTAGTTAAGCAAAAAGTTGCTCAAAACTGTATAATTCTAGCTCTTTTGGGCTTTGTTGTAATATACTTTTAAAACCAGAACAGGACCTTGTGGACACCCTGTATTTCTGAGTGAAAGTGATTTTCATGTTAGGATAAAATATACATTTTTTATCTTACAGTTTTCAAATTGCAGTTGTATAACATCTAAAACCTTCTAAACGAATATGAAAAGTTATTTCTGTACACACATACACACACACAAAGCATACATTGTCCTATAACTTCATAAAAAGATGCATACTTTGTTTTATCTGTTATTTTCTCTGCACTAACACTATGTAGGCTTGATCCATTTTATCTACATTGTAACCATCACAGAAAAATATGAAATAAATGTAAATTACCCCTTTTGCAGGTGTTAACAGAGAGATGTCATTATTTATCCTAAATAGCCTCAGGCTCATTACAGTTTACATCTAATTATTTTTTTAATTTTACTGTTTTGTTGCTCTTTGAAACATGTCTAACTACTAAACCCATATTACAAGCTTAAATAATTTTTTTAGTTTCATAAAGCACTTGCAGCTCGTGTGCAAACTTTGCTTACATATTTTTTATTTAACTTTTATCATTTATGTTTTCTTGTCTAACCTAACAAGTTTCTAATTTTTACATTTAGTTACGTTTATAACAAGAAATAAACACAAAAAACAAGAAATTTAGTACTTGCATCTAACCTTTCTTTTGCTCTCAACCACTGATAAAATTTTAACCCTACTTTTTGTAATGATAGTAGTAGTATATAAAATATTTTTTTTATTTCAGATATTCAGTTATTTAAGAACACAAAAAGATAACACACACACAAAGCATACATTGTCCTATAACTTCATAAAAAGATGCCTACTTTGACCTAACTGCATTCAAAGGGTTAATCCCAGACATTTATATGAATTTAACTAAAACATTTTAAGCCATATGAAATATATTATTATTTTACCATTGATACAGAGAGTAAGAATGCAAGCATTGAAATGTTTAGAACTTCTGAGTGCCCTCCCTGATCTCCATCTCCTTCCGTACCGCCAACAAGTGATTTCTGAGTTAGTGCCTGCTTTAGATGATCACAAGAGAATTGTAAGAAAACATGCAGTCCAAGCAAGATGTTCATGGTAAATCCTTTAATTATCATATCCTGGGTATATTAAAGTACTTTAGCGTTATTGCTGTGACCAAAGAATTTGTTTATAAACAGAGACTTCGATTATTCCTAGTCTCACAAATATTCTAAAGTTTTTATCGTGTAAGCTGTGTATTAAACATGGATAGTTTTCTTTCTTTCTTTCTTTCTTTTTTTTTTGAGCGGTATGAAGTTGATGTTAAAAGAAATACACACCTATATCTGATCAATATCTATACAAAGAATGTTGTCAATTAACAACATCAAATTAAGTTTTGGAAAATTAATCAAACTGGTTGTCATATAATGAATTACAACTTGAGGTATTGGAGTTTTTTTTATCATCCCAGAAATAACTATGTCAGTAAGATGTAGTGATGATAATATTTAAAATGCTATGTTGGATAAATATTTTTTGAGAATATGGAAATGAGCTGTAATTGTTTGGAAACAATAGTTTGCACTTACAGCTTATAATACAACCTTTTTATTAGTTCAGGTAACTGAAGTTCATTAAACTTTCCATTTTATAATTTGTTTTTCTTTCACCTTGGAATAAGAAGTGCATAAAATCTTGTGTTTAAAATATTCTTCTTCGTAAATAAAGCAGTGTTAATACTTTGAAATTCTTGTATTCAGAACCAAGCAATAATATTATAATTTTAACCTCACTACAGCACTGACTTGTTACTTAAACTTTCAGATAATTTGTTAATAAAGTATTTCATGTTCAATCAGTTTGCATGTAGTATCTAATCTTTACATTTTGTGAATGTTCTACTAAACATTTATTAGTGTGATGTGGTACAATTAAAAATTTCTTTTTCAGGATTTTGATTGGACAGCCAGGAAAGTAAGGTTGATGTGTACAAGTTTCAGTCCTGTGTATATAATGAAAGAACTTCAGCAAGGCCCTAATGTTTTGTACCTATAAAATTAAAATCATGTTTAATTAAATAGTCTTTTGAGTGGCTTAAACTTTCATGTTTAATAGATAATCATATGAAAGAAGAAGTATAACACATCTTAAAATCTTTACGTAAATTATAGCAACTAATTACCAAATTTTATTTGTTTATTTTTGAACAATCCTTAGCACTGTTTAAAATAATGAAGCCACTGTTAAGTAAAAACACACAGAGTCAGATGGAAAACTATACTAGAGTGATTCAGAAGCTCATATATATACAGACAGTAGACAATTTGTTGACCTGATGTATACAGTTAAACACAACAAAAAAGAACCTAAGTGTAGGAATTCTCTCTTTGTATCTTATAAATTGTTCAAACAAAGTTAAAGTTTTAGTACCTGAGAATAAGCAGCCTGTAACAATCTTTTTATTTTCCAAACTAAAAGGACTTAGTGTGTTCAATTCAGATTGGAAAGCTTGGTAATCTGTTGGAAATTTTGAAAGCCATATACACTAAAATCATAATCATGTTTCTTTTGAAGATAAATGGAATAAAACAATTCAAATATAAACTAAAAAGTTTATAAACATATAAAGGACTTCTAAAAACCCACATTTAATTAATAATTTAACTAATAATTAGATCAAGAAAAGGTAAAACAATTCTTATTCTTTTTAACTGTGAATTTAATGTTTTAATGTGCAAAATTTAAATGAATATCATAAAAATTATTTTTCTTTCTTTAAATAGAACAAACATATAATCAACATATCTTTGGTACAGAAATAGTTTACAATTTTTAGGACACTGCTCTAACCACATTTTCATATAAAAAGACATCAACAACTTGATCATGAATCTTACCATTAAATTTAAAAAGTAGTTAGTTTTCTCCAATAACTTCATAAACACTTCTGTAATTAAACTATTAAATATTTTACCTTTTTTAAAAAGAGGGTCTACACTGATATTTATAACTTCATACAGAGATATGATGACATACAATGGTTCAATATAAAAACTGTCTTAGAAAAGTCAGAGCACTCTTTTTATTAAATGTTCAGTAAAATATTTTTCTGTTAAAAAGAAACTGCAATAAAGTTAAACGCCTTCACACTTATTAAATATTTCAGGTATTCACAAATAGTCCTAGACCAGTGGAAACAAACATCTTATAGCTGTTATAGTATAAACTGTAAGAAATCACCAGCTGTTATTAAGCCATCACGCCAAACATGCTCGCTCTTTCAGCCATGGGGGCGTTATAATGTGAAAGTCAATCCCACTATTCGTTGGTAATAGAGTAGCCCAAGAGTTAGTGGTGGGTGGTGATGACTAGCTGCCGTCCCTCTAATCTTACACTGCTAAATTAGGGACGGCTATCGCAGATAGCCCTCGTGTAGCTTTGTGCGAAATTCAAAAAACAAACTCTTATTAAGCAAAGGAGACAAAGCCCTACTAGATAGATCAAGAGAACAGGTATTAGCTGGAGTTATAGAATGAATTTCAATTGGGAATACTCCATCTGTCCCAAATGAGATAACTTATTATTTTAGAAAAACCATCTATGGGTTTAGTGATGGAAAACCTTGCAATGTATTGATCTGCATTAGTTTTACATTTACAATTGTTCAACCCAATTTGGTAATGAAAGGTGGAAAATTGCCTTCAGATATGAAGAAAGAAGAGGGGCTGATATGACATAAAGTTTCAGGAAGAGGAAAATTGAAATTACGTTTAGTGTAGGAAAATTTTCAACACCACAAGAGCTGTCGTGATTGACATTGAGCAAGAATGTATATTAAGAAATGACTTCTTATATAGACATGTGAATATAAAGTTAGGCTAGCTTGAAGTTGCTTCACAGCTTATGTCCAGGAAATGCCTGTTCATTATATAACAATTACTACACCATAGGTTACAATGGGGAGGGTGGTCATTGGACCACCAAAAAATGAAATACTCATACCAGGTATTATTAGGAGTAAATCTTCATCTAGTGACTGTATCATTGTGGAACCAAACACTTTGACATGTCCTGAGGGATTGATAGTTGGAAGAGCTCTTGTGGATCTAAAGAATAAAGATGTCATGCATGATTTTACCCGAGAAAGACTTAAATGAGCTTGTGTTTAAATGAAAAGTCATTATGATGTTAATACTGAGAAGATTGGGTTAACTCAAGATGACAGGGTATAGGTGAACCATCCCCAGCACAAAAAAGAACAAATTCCAAAGTTAAGTACGTGTTGAGAATAGCCATATGTTGTACTGAAAAGAATTGATGATGTGGTTTACAGAATTCAGAAGAACAGGTAGTCTGTGCCAAAGGCAATTCTCCATGATCATCTTTCGAAGTAAGTCTGAGAGAACAGCTAACTGGGTAATTTCAGAGAATAATATTGCTTGTGGAAAATCAACCTACTGAAGATTCTAGCCAGAAGATTATCAAGGATTAAGCTGTTAGTAAATTTGTTCAACCACTTACCCAGGGAGACTTCCTCTAGGGCCAGAACGACAAGTAACGACAGGAACAAGAGGCTATCTCATCTGTATACTATAACCCATTGAAAAGATAACAACCAAGAAAAAAAAAACTGTGTAAATGGACAGTTTAATGAACTGTTGTATTTGTGTAGTACAATTGTTCGAGGGACTTCACAATCCAGGAAAGGGGGTAGTGTTGTAAGCTTTATTTTTTTGTATTTTAATTTGGGTGTTTCTGGAAAATTCGTGTATTGAGTAGAAAGTGAGTACGGTATAAATACGAGTAACGTGAAGCAGTGAATTAACGAGTAATGAGTTACTGTAAAGTTAATGAGTAACGAATGAGAAGTTAGTGAAGTATTCAGTGATTCAGATCAGTGTTAGTAGTGAGGGTTAAGGTGTGTATTCAGTTACTCGATCGACTAGCCGTGGAATTGTACAAATGAGTTTATTTGCAAGCTAGATGTAGTAACATTAGCGAGAAGTTTCTGTTGAAACTTTATTTGCGAACTTACGCCAACAACTTGTGTCGAAGTGAACGTAGTCTGTAGAAACCTTTTAAAGAAAATCTAGTTTGTTATCGTCACGTGGACTGGACTTGGCATTATTTTTTATCAAATAATTCAAAAGAATCCACCACATTACAACAATGTTTTACTTTTGAACAAGTCAGTTTGTGATCTTTGTTAATTGAAATATTATACACTATGTAATTTTTAGTACAAATATATATAATTATTTTATGCCTACTACAATACAAAATACGTGCGTTTATATAAGTTTGTATTCCACAGTGTTTACATTCTAGGCCTAATATCTGTGATAAAAAATCACGTTAACTACCAACATGTTCTTCCCATCTTCCTCTTAATTTGTCCCTACAAATATATGATAAACCACGTGAATGGAATGTAGTTGTCATTATCCAGATATTTTTAAGTTAAATTGAAAAATTCTTAGATTTTTTAAACTAAATGTAAGATTAGTTGTGAATTCTTCTATGTGCAAAACATGTCTTGCTATTTTCTTTTTTAAGTTTAATTTAGATATAATATATACTGCTCCCGTTAAAGTTGGAAGGCAGAGACAATAATATGCGTCTACTTCCCTTTGCAATATGTATAATTACTTTTACGCATTTTATCATGCATTGAAGTAATAATAGTTTATTAGCTATTAGTTTTCTTCCCAGTCCGTTTATAAAATGAAAACGGTATCTAATTTGTTAGGGCGGTTTTTACTTTTTAAAAGAGAGACTATTTACGTCATTGACAAGAAATACATTTTTATTAGAGCCACGTTTCTGCAGTCCCACTGCAGGTGTCGTCAAGCGTAACACTAACGTTATATAACGTGCATTTAAAAACGGACTCGTGTGTTCCATAATTGCAGTTATTACAATGTCGAATGTTACATATGTATTTAGTAATTTTTACTATCCTATTAAATGACAGTTCTAATTACATGAGATTAAAAGAAAAATTAAAAACCCAATATCATTATTATTATAACTTTGTAATGTATATAATGAAAAATATTCCAAACTGTATTATTTTGTAAACTTAATTTTAGATTGGTTTATTTACTTCTGGAAGAAAAACGCCCTGTCCCTATTCACGAGGGTCTTTGTTGAAGTATAAATAGTAAGGATTTATTTTATGTTTATTTTTCGAAGTGCTTTTTGTCAGTACTACAATATTTATGGCATATTCCTTGTATTGGGCGATTTTCGACGGTGTCGCTGTGTTCTGAATGGAATATTTTACTGCTGTTCTAGTAGTTCCACCTGTTGATAAAGATCAAAAAATGTGTACTTGCATTTTTGAATGGTCTGTAATGTGTTGATATTAAATCGTTGTAATATTCTAGAAACCTGTTCTGGGTTGTTTTTTTTTAAATAAAGCATACATGAGAATCGTTGGGTATGAACTTCATAGTATTAACTAAACGATTACGAAATTCCATAATTGGCTAAACACTTCTAGCATGTGAAGCAAATCAAATCCACAAAAATAAGGTTTACAAAAAACAACAACGTATTTTATCAGAAGATTCTCAACAAAGCCTTTTGGTTCAACTAATAATAGAAGCGAAGTGACTTCGACGTAACGCAAAATCTGGATTTTAAAGATTAATCACTGGATAGATTCTTTTAACATGCAGCTTGTGTAACTTATTTAAAGAGAGCAAGATATAAAATGTCCGTTTCCGAAGTTTTTTTTACGTGATTTGGATACTTTGGAGAATAACATGTGACTAAGGAGAACTTCTTATAATGAACTGATTAAACTTGTGCACGCATATGATGAAGATAATTACATTCATTCACCAAAACTGACATTTCTATTTTGTGGATATTCCCGGAAAATGGGAGAAGAAAAAAGTGTGTGTACCCAAAAGCACGAACTATACACTTGAAACTAAAGTATGCGTCAATTTTAGTTACATTGATTGCGCTAAATACAGTATTTTTACTTTCTTGAGATAGAGTTAAGACATTAAAATAATTAGATATGATATAAATAAGTAGACGGAACCCATTTTTTATTCACAGAAAA